CCTGTCACTCGCGTTCCGCGCGTCGCATCGCGTTCACCGATGTTCAAATATGTTCACCGTATGAACTTTATGTTACCTCGTTAATGGACGATTACACAGACATTTCGAATCGAAGATAATTCAGCGGCAGCGAAGAAGCTGCCGGGCGGATGAACCAGGCTAATCGAATGCTGCTCCGCTTAATTTCCCCGAGAGTTGGCGCATCGGGCCGCCTCGTAAATCAAATCTTGACATTTTGTCTACTCACGCGCAAGTCCGGCTGGCCAATAACGGGGCGCATACCATGACGAATGGATAATTTAGTCGCCGCCGTGTATCGGCGCATCATGGAGATGACCATTTAAAAAAAAAAAAAAAACAATCGATACTTTTATCGCGGTATTTATGCCTCGAAGAATGTAGTTAAAAACTGATAGTCCTTTGCTAATCGTAAAATTAATGGGTCATAAAAATTGAAAGTAAAAAATGACATACTTTTTAAAATTTATAAAATATAACATGTTTTATAACATATATTTTATAAAATTTATCAAATATAACATGTGTGGAGGAAAAACTGCATATTAGTATCAATTGTTTAAATCAGTTATTAAATAAGGCAATGAAATCTTTATCAATGTTATTATCACGTTTAATATCAATTTCCCAAATAACTGAAAAAAATATACTTTCAACTATCAAAATAATAATGTCGCTATTAACTGTTAGAATCTACTAACGGACGCCTCTTTGCCTTCCTACGGTGCTTACGATCTAATTTAGCGCATTACGGTGCAACGAGCCTAGAACTTCCCTTTGGGGCGCCGCTTGTTACGAGTTTATTCGCCGCTGTCGAGATTCGATCGGAACGCTTAGTCGGCGAATTAGCGATGCGCTCAGAAAAAACGTATTCGAAGCAGCTGGAGCCCGGAGCTCGCGTCATGACGGAATCCTAATTAAAGTCCAAAGTAAAACGAGAACGATCGCGCCGGAAAACATTGCTCTTAACGGAGAGGAGGAAAAGTAATAACAGCACTGAGTGAAAATGATAATGACTATTAATAGTTAAATATAATAGAGTACGAACACAAAGAGGACGACAGCGAAAATCTACGGTCATAATATATTGCCACCTTAGTGGAGTAAAATTTTACGAAGGACTGAAACTTTATCTTCCCGCGAAAGAAGTAAATATTACTTTTGTCAAGAATATAATTGATAAAAAAAAGAAATAAAAAAATATAAAGGTAAAAAACTAAAGAAATAATGATGTAAGAAGATTCACACACGATAGTTGTCAATCGATAGTTAAATTATTGGCGATATAAATTTTGCTTTATTTTGAAGGAAATGGAAATATTATATAAAATATAAAATACAATACAATACAATATAAAAATTATTTTGTCACACATATAATTCCACAAAAAAAAAATCTAAAATTTATATTATTTTAAAATAATTATTCATAAAAACTAAAGAAATATATGTGAGATTTTCTTAGTTCTATAATTTTCATTATTATTACGAATTCAATAATAAAATTTTGTGTCTATTGAATGACGATTGATATATGTCATCATATTCGATAGCGCGTAGAATAATGTCGAAAAATATAAATCGTATCGAGAAAATAAGGGAGCTAAGGGGATCGACGACGGTAAAAAGATATCCAAGATGTGCAGCGGCGATGAGTCATAATTTCTATTTAAATGTGCGTAATTAAACGCTCGTGCGTATGCAAGAGTACAAGCCGCGGCTGTATGTACGAGCAAGCGCCGTCACGCCGCGCGCGTTTCCTTCCTGAATAAACGCTCAAAATAGTATATGTGAACGGACACTC